CTTATACTGGCAAAGAACACATGTAAATGACTCACAAGGAATGAGAGGCTTGAAATGATCAGTCTAGTCAAGGATGCCAAATACAATGAAAATTACCTACTAGCATTTTTTATTATACCAAAATTTCATGAAGCATAGGAAAGAATGGGTTGCAACTAAAAATAAATCAAGGGCTTCATTACTGATTTTACATTTTTCCACCATAAAGGTCAACCAAAAGAGCAACTGCTGGCCATGTACATTTCCACAAGAAAACAATAGACAACTTATAGCTATCTATAAATATAGTGGAAGACACTGGGAACAACTAGAAACCAGATAATCAATCTGCCTGCCAGGCACAAATTTATTGGGCAAATTCTCACAGGGTGCACTGTCTCTGCAGAATTTTATATGCTCTTCTCAATGTCTTGCTGAATTGCACTCCTATACATGAAGTAAATCTCCCTGTAAATGCACAACAAAAGTGGAATGATTTAGAATTTTGAGCAAAGTGCTACACTTGCCATCCAGAATATTGTGAATAAACACAATGAGTTTTTATTTCAGTTTTTTAGACCTTATGTACAATTCCTCCAGATGTCCCAATAGGAACATTTTTGGGAGTAGCATTTTAAACTTTATTTACTTGAATTTCCTTTTATTTAATTTCTATTTTAAATTTAATTTTTGTTAAGATAATTATAGATTCATATGCATTTGTAAGAAATAATAGAGATCTCTTCTTCTTTCCAAGTTTACATCCCTAGTACCATTAAAAATTTTCCACATTTCCCTTAATAACAGTTTGCAAAACTATAATTTACTATCACAACCAAGATTTTAAGACTTATATAAGACATCTGTATTAGATCCTCAGTTATACCAGTCCTCATTTATGTTTGTTTGTATTTGTCTATGTGTGTGTGTTTAGTTCTATACAATTTTATCACCTATGTAGGTTCATGTATCCACGGTCACAGTCACGGTCACTGCTTCAATATAAGAATCCCTTATCTTTCCCTTTTATAAACCATACCTGGCTCTCTTCTGTTTCACTCCATACCTAACCACTGATATGTCCTCCATTTTCAAAATGTCATTTGAAACATATAACATAAAGGAATCATGTGCTTGTAACCTTTTGGAAATATATATTTTCACTGACCATAATCCTCTGGAGAATCACCCATGATTTTGCATGTGTATCCATCATTCATTCCTTCTCATTGTTGAGTAGTATTTTATATATGAATGCATTGTAGGTTGTTTATTCATCCCTTGAAGAACATTGGACTGTTTGCAGGTTTGGGCTATAATGAATAAAGCTGATATTCATGATATTTACATTTTGTGTGCACATAAGTTTGGGTTTCTCTAGGATGAATGTCCATAACTGCAATTAGTGGGATGTATGAAATTACATGTTTGGTTTAATAAGAAAATATAAAACTGTTTTCCAGAGAGGTTGTAAAATACTACATTCTCATCAGAAATTTATGACTTATCTAGTTGCCCACATTCTCATTAGATTTGATGTTGTCATTAGTTTTTACTTTAGAAGATGATAATATAGTGTTCTCTTATCAACTAGCTCACCATCACATATACTTCCCATCTCGGTAACTACCCAATATAGCTATAACTTAATTTTTTTGGATGAACATTCTGATTTTATGTTTATATATATCTCAATAAGTGATATTCACTTTTAATCCAAGTAAGAGGTTATTGTTATTGTTATGCATAACCTTCCACTTTCTAAGTAATTAACATTTTTCTTGTTTTTAGTTTGATTCTGTGTGCTTTAACAGTAATTTATTTCCATACCCCCCTTTCTTATTCCAAGAAGCCCTAATAGTCTAAATTACTTCTTGACACATTCAAACTCAAAAACCATTCTATCGCTTCAATCTTCATAGAGTCATCTCTCCTATGGCCTCCATATATATGGCACATAAATCTCTGCCTAATGTTGGGGCAGCACAGAAGGCTCCGTTTGTGAGCTCCGGCCAGGGTATAAAGGCTCCTTGGTTTCTGTGTAATGCTGGGTTCTACTGCAGCGGGCCTAGTATTTAGCTCCAAGGCAAAATCTGGCACTAGCTTTCATGCTCTATTTTCCAGCAAGTAGAGTCCTGCTCCCCTCTCTGCTGCCCAAGTTTTGGTCAAGGGTTGCAGAACCAGTCACTTAGCCCTCCATTTTAGTCAGCATTTTTGTTGCTGTGACCAAAAGACTTTATAATAACAATTTGGGGCTCATGGTTTCAGAAGTTCAGTTTATGATTATCTGATTTTCATAGCTCTGGGCCTTAGGTGAGGCAGAAGGGCATGGAGGAGGGAAGCAGCTCAGGACATAAAAGCCAGGATGCAAAGAAATAGCTCTGTTCACCAGGAACAAACTATCAACCCCAAAGGCATGCCTCCAGTGATCTATCTCCTCTAGTCACACCCTTCCTATCTATAGTTACCACCCAATTAATTCATTTCAGTAGATTAATCCACTGATTAGGTTCAACCCTCATAATCTAATTTTTTCACCTCTGAAAATTCTTGCATTGTCTAACACATGAGCTTTTGGGGGACACCTCATATCTAAACCATAATACCCTGCCTTTCTAATGTAATTCCATTGGCTCAGTCTGTAGTTACTGTAGTGGAGACAGCAGTTGTAGGACTCAGCCTAGCGCTGGGTGTACACCATGGTGGGCCTGGTATTGGGTTTCAAGTATAAGGCCTAAATTTAAATATTTCTCTTTCCCAAGTGGGAGGTATCTCTCTGTGCTGCTTGGAATTGCAGGAAGAGTGACATTGGCAACTATTTCCTTCTTGCCTTTTTCAGTGAATTTTCGCTTATTATGATACTAAAACCAGATTCTATGATCTCTCACCTGACTTTCTAGTTGCTGTAAAAGTAATGTGGTGTGTGAATAACTGTTCCAATTTCTGTGGATATAGGGAGATGGTTGCTGAAGGATCTTACTCAGCTACCATCTTGCCCTGCTTCCTATTTCTGCTTTGAATTACTGTTATATAAAATTTCATATGTTATTTGTCCAAGTAATTGCATTATCATGCAGAGTTGAAAAGGTTAAAAAAAAAACCTCAGGTGAACATTATTCAATATAGAAATTAGAGAATTTAGAGGTAAATATGTGATGTAGATTGATGTTAGAATACTTCATGTGAAAGTGACATTTTCAGTTGATAAAAGAGTAGATTAAAAAATTTAAATTTACCTAAGCACAGCAGACTGTGACACTCTTCCTTAGTTGGTGGGAATACCAACAGAACAGAAACAACATTTTTCTCTAATTGATATGTATCATTGTATCTTTAGGTTCTACACAGAAGTCCAGACTTGGGCTATTCTTCTCCCTGAGAATAGACAAAATGGAATTCTAAAATTTCCATCTTTTTTCCCCCAGAGACTGTTTAGGAGGCTATGCATGGACTGTGGTCTTGATTCAGTCAAATTCTGTGACCCACTGTGTTCCTTTCAATGTTATAAAATTGTCCTGCTTTAGGGCTCAGGGATATAGACGAGATGTGTACTATGACATGATATAGGGATTGGCATAAAAAGTCCAGGGGTGATTCACATCTCCTATTTGTTAAGCTAAGACAAACTATTGAAAGAGGATGCAGATGTTTTTAATCTATGGCTTCCTAAGAATTTTGCACATTAGTACTACAAACACCATTAGTACTACAAACACTATTTTCAACTATTTACAACAACCATTTCAAGAAACTTGTCAACTTTCTTTTATATTACTTACAAATCTCTTCCTCCTTGTAGAAAGAAATAATTTACTTATCATCTTGGTACCATGAAAATCTTGTAAAACTGTTATGGGAAAGATTTTTTAAAAGTACTTAAGTCTTAAAAGATTAACTGGTTGGGAGTTGGAGAGGTCATTCATCTCAGAGTGAACATCATGTGTGTTATCAAGGAGGAAATGAAAACACCTGATACGTTTTGAAACTCTGAGATCATAGTAGAGGAAGGATGAGGAGAGAGTAGGCATTACACAGTGTAAATTCAAGCCTGTTGAAAAGGTCTTCATCTAGCAATTAAGATGTTGGATCACTATATCTTGAGTAACTTTCATTTCACAAATGAAGAAGCTTATACCTGGTGTAGTTAACAAAGTTCCTAACACCTCTGTCTTCAGTATATTGTTCCTGGACCAGCAGCATTGTTATCACCTGGGAATTTGTTATATGTATAGATTCTTAGACTCTGCTCCATATATACTGAAATGAAATTGGCATTTTTTTAAATTGGCATCTTAACAAAGATCCAAAGGATTGGTTTTACTGTGTGCATATATGTGTAAAAAGAAATATGTCTCATAATATACACACCATTTGTTCACTTTTAAAAATTTAATACTGTGTAATATATATCTTTCTATGTCAATACAAATAAATCTACATTATTATCAATCAGGGGTAGACTGTAAATTATTTTACCCGACCCTATTGATTGGTTTTCATATCAATCTAAGATTCTGGTATTATAAGCAACACTTATTGAGAAATGCTGGTCTAAAGGCCATTGAGCAGGACACTTAGGGACCCTGACTCTGTTTCCACTGAAATCCTCCGTTTCTGTAACATCTTCTTGCCTTAATTGACCCCATGTGCAAATTATTTTATTGATCTTAAAAGCTTGGTCTGAAGAGAGGTCCAGGAAAATGCCCACTACACCAAATGCCATCATAAAATTCTGCCAAACCACGACAAATAAGTGAGCAGTTTCTGTGTTTGGGGCTGTCGTAACATGTTTTTCCGTTGCTCTGGTGACACCTGCCACCCCGGATTCTTTTGCCAGGCACCCGCGGCTTCTGTTTCAGTAGCCAACTCGCGCGACTTGCACGAAGACAATGGAGGAAGGGATAACGCACCTGCGCGAGCCCAAGCGCTAGCTCCGAGTCCAACGGTTGCCTAGCGATGGTCGCCTAGCAACTAGACCAAGTTTTTCCTGGGTCGACCAATTCCACAACTATTTGTCCACTATGGAGAAGTCAGCCATGGACATTGAGAGGGCCTCCCCTATCCCCTGGGACACAGACAGCCAGAAGAAGGACGTTCAGCTGCGGGTGACCCCGTCGGAGCTGAAGTTCCTGAACACGGTAGCTGGGAAAGTTTACCGCCTCCCGGTTACTGTACACAATCTCGGCCGTTGGAACCAGAAGATAAGGTTTCAAGAGCCAATTAAACCACAGGTGACACACTGAGAGGTGCTGGAACCAGGACCTCTGGAGGGCGGGGACTCTGAGAATGTCTTCTCACCTAACACTTCCCTTTGGCCCAGCAGTGGGCTCCTGAGGAGGTGGGGGTAGGATTGAACTTCCCCAGGTCCGGTAGTTTAGCAGGTGTTTCTATATGTGCTGCTGTACCCCCACTCCCCACCCTCTTTGCTTGAAGCTGACCTAGAATCTGTTTCTTCATCCCGAGTTTGGAAAGAAAGGAAGGGGTTCTTTGACTACTTGTACGAACCCCGAATCTGTGCACCTTGGCTTCATGATTCTATAGTTGCCTTAAGCACCATGAGAATAAAATTCTCTATTAACCCTTTGAGTCATAAAGTATTTGATTTCTCCAGAACTATGGAATTACTGGAAAGCTTTTTTTTTTAATTTCACATATTAACAAATGTTTGTTGAGCACATGTTATGTAACAGTCAAGAGATGTGAGGAATACTAACTGGACAAATTGCTGCTCTTGTAGGACCTAGAACCTAATGGGAACATTTTAGTACAAGTCTGTCCATCATGAATATTAGTGTTCTGAGAGATTGTCTCTGTCTTCTGACTTCAAAGTGGACAGGATTTCATCTCTCTTTCTGTTATTTTAGATCATATATGTGAATGGGTGTCTATTAGTTCACAAGACTTTTGATATAGGAAATGTATAAGTTTTGATAAATAAGCAATAAATAACTGGGATTTTCAGAAGGTATTCCTAGTGAATGCATCTGAATGCATAAAAGATGTCCATAATTTTAAAGTTAAAGTTACATATATTTGTGTATATATATATATATATATATATATATATATATATATAGGCAAACCTGTTAGTGACTAGGAGAGCAATAAAAAAAAAAGAATTTTCATGTTCTGTTTTCTATTCTTCAAAAAAAATACAGTGTTTATCTACATGGATATGCACAAATCTCAAAGTAAAGCTTGTTGGATTACTGTGTATATGTATATACTTATGAAGCCACCACCTGTATCAAATCATTAAATATATCTAGCACACTAGAAGGCTGCTAGTGCCCCTTCCCTACAGTACCTGGAGTAATCACCCCAGGGAGGTGATTAACCACTATTCTGATATCTAATAACACAGATTTGTTAGATATCTGAATATATATTAAGTATGCACTATGCACCGTATACAATGTTGCACATCATCTATTTGTAGGTAGCTGGTAGAAAAAGAATACACAGTTATTATTTTCCAGGGACATACAGTTGATAGTTCTGTGCTTGATTTCAATACTATTTTTTAGTTTCCCACTATCCATTTAATACTGCTTTGCTAATTTGTGTGGCCTCTGGTTTGGTTAAGCCAGTCTTATTCGTAATTTCTCCCTCTTGCCTATGGCTCAGATTTCCTTTTCTTTTGACTCACATTTTTACTTCCCTCATCTACAAGATCCTCCTGCTCCCCACTTTCCCAAATCTCATTCACCTTTTAAGATCAATGTGAGGTCTCATTAATTGTCATATCTCCCCATATTATTTCTACCCTCCAGGATACCTATTGCATTTACTAATGTTCCTTATATTTTGGACTTGAGTCTCAGTGACTCTTGGTAAATGTTAGTTTTGCCTAATTGGTCAGCTCATAAGCTGCTAAGAGTAGGATGCAAAGCATTTGGCTTTGAATAATTAATTTCAATATGATCTCTATTGTTACTGATTGAGAGTGAAGGAGGAAGGTATTAAGTTTTACAGTCAGGTAGATTAGTTGTTATGGCATCCTCACTTCTGAGTGACTTTAGATATTGGTTTCGCTCTACAGTCAGAGTCAATCTGTCTGCTGAGAGCCTTAATATCAACCTCATAGGACTTTAAAAGTGTATTGAGATAATAGATGTATAATTGCTTGACACATCATAAGTGATCAACAGTTATCAGTTCTCCTCTTTCTACCTTAATATTTTCCTGAAGCTAGCAAATGTTTTTTCCTCTTTGGTCTATTCTTTCTTTCTGATTCCTCCAAGTTATGAAGCCCAGGTCCCCATGCAGAAAGTATATGAAATATTGCATACTTCCTGTATTTAAGATACATACACATGTGTGTACACAATGTGTGTATGTACATATGCATGCAGGAATAAGTTCTGGTGATCTACTAAAACAACTAGATGACTATCGTTAATAATGTATATTTTTAAATTGCTAAGAGAGGATTATGAATGTTCTCATGAAAAAAATGAGTCTGTGAGGCAATGCATGTTAATTAGCCGTATTTGCTCATTCCACAATATATACATGTATCAGAACATCACATTCTACCACATACATATATAAAATTATTATCTGTCAATTAAAATAAACTTGAAAGATTTTTGCTTTTAGGGCAGGAATAAGGACTATGATTTGATAATAATGTACACTCCTATCTACATTTGCTCACATTATGTTCTTTTAAGGAGTTAAGGTGTATAATCTGGGGGCTGGAAATACAGCTCAGTGGTAAATGTGATTTACTGATAGAGTGCTTGTTGAGCAGGTGCAAGGCTCTGAGTTCGATCTCCAGCAACATACATATGCACACACACAATGATGTATAATTTGAATCTTTTTTTTCCCCACTGAAGTTCAAACTGATATTGACCAATCTGGATAAGGCACTTGCTTCTGGTCTTCATATGACAGCTATGGTGGAATATCATCCTGATAAAGATGAAAATACATTCGACCAACTACATATTTCAATAGGAAATAAAGTAATAGAAGTTCCTCTAATAGGGTATGTAATATTCATAGACTGTATTTTCTCTGACTTGTATCTATTGTTTTCATATAGCTGAACTTGAAAAAAATTTCTAGAAAATTGTAGTGTTTACAGCATTCTCTAGTATTTTTATTTAAATATAAGTATCAAATAATTTAATGTTATTAGATTTTTGCAAGTTTATATTCATATTAATTTCACAGTATTGTCATATTCACTTCACTGAATTTTAAATAGGGCAGATTTTTGGCTTAAAGGTAAAAATGTTGCTCTTTTGAGATTGTTTGAAAAATGTGGATGAGAGCTGGGGTTGTGGCTAGTGGTAGAGAACTTACTTCACACGTGTGAGGCCCTGGGTTTAATCCTCAGCACCATATAAAAATAAATGAATGAATGAATAAATAAATAAATAAAGATATTGTGTCCATCTACAACTAAAAATATTAAAAAAAGAAAAAATGTGAATGAATATAATGGATATAAGTAATTGATTTGAGATTAATTTTGATACACATTATTTATTTGACAAAGATGAATAATGATTCCTTTTCTCTTTTTGTACTTTAAAAAGTATATTTTGGCCCTAAGCAACTTAGTGAGACCCTGTCTCAAAATAAAATATAAAGAGGCTAGAGATGTGACTCAGTGGTTAAGTGTCCCTGGGTTCAATTCCTGGTCCCAAATAAAGCATATTTTGGTTTATTGTTAAATTGCCCATTAAAGTTATTGTTTAAATTTAAAACGGTTTTATTTATACACACACACACACACACACACACACGATCTTCCTTTACCCCAGCAAAATGTGGTTCTATAGGTATTATTCTTTTGTCTATGTTTATCTACCACTTTAAGATTTAATATTGGAATATTTTCTATTATATAGTTTTAGGTGTATACTTCTTAATAATTTCCCTTATATTTTTTTCATTAATATAAACTAAATTTAGATCTGCAATTATTTTGGTTCTCCATGTTATTGAGAAGTTCTGATTTAACACACAATTCCATTTACCTAGGAATCAAATAGTTTACACATAGTAGGAAAGGTATTAATTATTGCATGCATTAAGTTACTTTTAAATTTTTAAGTAGGGCCATTTTTAGTGCACTTTTTATTTTGGCATAACCATGACAGTGGCACTCAGATTTGCTTGCTTATTCTGTGTATGGAGAGAAGGGTTGAGTATGCCTTTGGTCTTGAAAAGATTTTGTCTTGTTCACACAATGTATACTGTCTCTCATCAGAGTCCATTTCTCACCAAAGTTGCAGCATAAGCACAGCATTACCCATTACCCTCTTTATGTGTGGGACAAGACTGAAGGAAGGTGTGTGTGTGTGTGTGTGTGTGTGTGTGTGTGTGTATGTATGTCATAGAGAGTTGCTGTTGGTTGTATTTTTGATTCAGATGATTGAAAATTCACATCCAATTATATGAAATAAAACAGAGCCCTTATGCATTTTTTCCTGTTTGCCCCAATTGTACCATTTTGCAAAAGTATAGGATAATATCACAATGGAGAAAAAGACATGAATATGATCTATCTTATTAAGATTGCCATAGCTGGGCTAGGGATATAGCTCAGTTGGTAGAAGACTTGCTTCGCATGCATAAGGCCCTGGGTTCAATCCCCAGCACCACAAAAAGAAAGAAAAAAAAAAAAAGATTCCCATAGCGTGCTTGAACTCCTGTGCATATCTGCTTGTCTGTGTGTGTCTGTGTTATTAAGTGCTGAACAATTTTATCATCTACCTGGGTTCAGATATTCACCACCAGGCAAGACACTGAAAGGGTTCTAATACCACAAGGATCTTTCCTGTTGCTTTATTACAGCTCCACCTGCCTCACTTTTGCCTCACATTTGCCATCCCTGAAACTGTGGAAACTGTAATCTGTCTTCCACTTTGAAAATTTGTTTCTTCAAATAGTTTGTATAAATTAAATTATGCAGCATATAATCTTTAGGGATTGGCTTTTTTTTTTCATTCACCAAACTCCTCAGAGATTCAGCCATGTTGTTGACTATATTTTTGTTCCTTCGTATTACTGAGTACTATTCCATAGTATGGTATGTATATACTGCAGTATTTATTTATTTATTTATTTATTTATTTATTTATGCCATTTTCATGAAAATATTTAATGTGCTATATTATTTGTCATGGCATTTCTAGGGAAAGGGAACATTTTTTTAATTCGACAGTTTTTTTTAAAGCATTGATCTTTTGAAGAATAGAGACTGATAGCAGTTTTTAGTTATTATAAGTACACTGCTTTAATATTCTCGCACAAGTTTTATGTGAACATAAGTTTTCATTTCTCTGGGGAAAATGCCCATTAGTGCAATTGCTAGGTCATATGGTAATTGCATATTTAGTTTAGTAGAGAATCCCAAATTGCTTCCCATAGTGGCTGTACCGTTTTGCACTCCAATGAGCAGTGTGAGTGATACACTTTGCCCACATTCTTTCCAGTGTTTGTTGCTGTCACTATGTTTAAATTTTAGCCATTCTGACAGATAGTGGAATCTCATTGTAGTTTTAATTTGCATTTCCCTGATGACTGATAATGTTGAACATAAATTTTCATGTGTTTTTTCTGTCATCTGAATATCTTCTCTGATGAAATATTTGTAAATGTGTTTTGCTTATTTTAAAATTATATTGTTTATTTGTTTTATTAAGTTTTTACAATTTCTTTGTATTCTGGATACAAGTTTTTGATGGATATGTGGCTTAAAAATATTTTTTCCCAGTCTATGAATTGACTTTGCATCCTTTCAACATAATATTTTGTACAGCAATATTTTTTCTTTTTAAATTTTGATTTCAATTTATCAGTATTTTAATGGTTCATGATTTTAATGTCAAGGCTAAGAACTCTTTGCCTAAGCCTTGATCATGAAGATTTTCTGCTATTTTTAAGTTTTACATTTAGATCAGTGGTACTTTTAGAATTATTTTTTGTATGAAATGTGAAGTTTATGTAAAAGTTTCTCTTTTCCCAGTAGATATCCAATTGCTTTGACCCCCATTGTTGAAAAAGCTAAACTTTTCCATTGAATTGATTGTGAACCTTTGGGAAAAAAGTCAGTGGAGGGGCTAGGAGTGTTGCTCAGTGGTAGAATGTTCACCTAGCATACTCGTGTTCAATTCTCAGTCTCTCTCTCAAATACACACACACACAAAATCAGTGAGCATATTAGTGTTGATTTCTTTCTGAGTTCTGTAGTTTGTTCTACTGCCTATGTGTCCATACCTTTACCAACATCATGCTATCTTAATTACCTTTACTGCAAAGTGTTTCTTAAAATGTAACAAAGCAATTCTTCACACTTCACTGTTTTGATAAGATTATTTTAGCTATTTTAATGTCTCAGCCTTTCCATCCGAATTTCAGAATAAGTTTTCTGAGCCCACAAAAAATATGTTGGGATTTTGATAAGATTTAAATTTAGCATGTAGAACAATTTGAGAATTAACATCTTTATTATGTAAATTTCCCAATTTATGAATATGCTGTGTCTTCCCATTTATTTAGGTCTTCTTTGATGTCTTTTACCAGCATATTGTCATTTTTCAATACAAAGATCCTGCATGAGTGTCTTAATGTGCATCCTGGTATTTCATTTTTTGGAGTGTTTGTAAATGTCATTGAATTTTTAATTTTGGTCTTAAAATGTTCCTTGATAGTATGTAAATACAATTGATTTCTGTGAGTTGATATTTTATCATCTCACCTTGCTGACCTCAATTTCTAGGAGATTTTTGTGTGTTTGTATTTTTAGATTCCTTGTTATTGTCTGTCCTATCTATTTTAACTTTACAAGAGTCTTTATCATGAAGAAATGTGGAATTTTTTAATATTTTATTTTTTAGTTATAGTTGGACATAATACCTTTATTTTGTTTGTTTATTTTTATGTGGTACTGAGGATTGAACCCAGGGCCTCGCACGTGCTAGGCAAACACCCTACACTGAACTACAACCCCAGCCCCAGAAATGTGGAATTTTATCAAAAGCTTTTTCTGAGAAAATTCTGATGATGATGATGATGATGATGATGATGATGATGATGATTTTGATACCAAGGATTGAACCTAGGAGTGAACCACTGAGCCACATCCCCAGTCCTTTTTATATTTTATTTAGAGACAGGGTCTCGCTAAGTTGCTTACAGCCTTGCTAAGTTGCTAAGGCTGGCTTTGAACTGTTGATCCTCCTGCCTCAGCCTCCTGAGTTGCTGGGATTATAGGCATGAGCCGCTGTGCCCTGATGATCATGATTTTTTTGCAACTTATTTATATGGTGGACTGCATAGACTAATTTTTGAATGTTGAACTAGACTTGTCCTTGTATACATGGGATGAATTCCTCTTGGTTATACAGTATCATACTTTTCCTGTATGCTAGAATTTGGTTTGCTAATGTTATATTTGAGATTGCTGGGTCCCAATTCTTGAGAGATATTGGTCTATAGTTTGTTTTATTTATTTTTTGTTTGTTTTGTATTGCCTTTGTCTGGCTTTGGTGTCAGGGTAGTACCAACCTCATAAAATGAATTAAGAAATATTTTCTCTTTTATTTTCTGGAAAAGAAGCTTCTCCTCCTCCTCCTCCTCCTCCTCCTCCTCCTCCTTCTTCTTCTTCAATATTTTTTATTTGTAGATGGACACAATACCTTTATTTTATTTATTCATTTTTATGTGGTGCTGAGGATCAAACCCAGGGCCCTGCATGTGCTTGGCAAGTGCTCTACCACTGAACTGCAACCTCAGACCCTGAAAGAGCTTCTTTAATATTGATACTAATTATTTAAAGAGTGAATTTGTCTGGGCCTGGAGATTTCTTTTTCAGGATGATATAAATGATGAGTTCGATTTTTGATGTTTAGTGGGTTGTTCATATTGCCTGTTTCATCTTGGTTGAGTTATTATAGTTTGTGGTTTTCCAGGAATTCTTACAGTTTTATATTGTCAAATATATGAATATGAAGTTTTTAGTATTTTTTTTCTTTTTAAATGACTGTAACAGCATAGTGATATCCTCTTTGTTATTCCTGATGTCAGTAATTTATCTTTTTACTTATTTACTTTTTTTTTTTAAGAGAGAGGGGAGAGAGAGAGAGAATTTTTAATATTTATTTTTTAGTTCTTGGCGGACACAACATCTTTGTTGGTATGTGGTGCTGAGGATCGAACCCGGGCCGCACGCATGCCAGGCAAGCGTGCTACCGCTTGAGCCACATCCCCAGCCCTTATTTACTTTTTAAATATTGCAATTGGTTTATCAACTTTATTTATTTTTTAAAAATCTTAATTTCTTATTGATTTTATTATTTTATTTTACATTCCATTGATTGCTGCTCTCTATTGTTTATTTCCTTCTTGAGTTGAGTTTATGTTACTGTCTTTTTCTAGTTTCTTGATGTTGGAAATTAAGTCATTGATTTAAAACATTCCCCTCCACCCTACTTTTTTGTTTGTTTGTTTTTGTATCAGGGATTGAAACCAGGGGCACTTAACCACTGAGCCACATCCCCAGCCTTTTTTAATATTTCATTAGAAACAGGGTCTAGTTGCTTAGAGCTTCTCTTAAGTTGCTGAGACTGGCTTTGAACTTGTGATCTTCCTACCTCAGCTTCCTGAAATGCTGGGATGACAGGCGTGAGCCACTGTGCTTGACAGCACTGTTTATTTTTGTCCCATGTATTTATATGATGCATTTTTGTTTTTGTTCACTTGTATATGTTTTTTAGATATCTTTGAAACTTCTTTGACTTGTGGATTATAAGTATGTTAATTAATTTCTGCACATTTAAAGAGTTTCCTGTTGTTTTTTCTTTTATTGATCTATATTTTATTCTGTTATGATTAGCTAAAACATTGGACATGATTTCAAATACCTTAAATTTGTTCACCTTTATGGTTAAGAATACAGTCTATTTTGGTGAATATTCCATAAGTGCTTGAGACAAATGTCCACTCTTCTTTTCTTGGGCATATTGTTCTGTATATGTAAATTAAATATTATTGGGTACTTGTTTTTTCTGGCAGTCTGTCTTTAAGATTTATGGGTTAGTGGGTCCAAATCAAAGGGAGAATTTTGATATTTCCAACTACTATTGTTTTTGTTTTTCTCCTTCCAGCTTTGTCAGATTTTGGTGAGTATATTTTGGGTTTCTCTTGTTTAATGTGTAAACATTTATGATCATGTTTTCCTGATAGATTAATACTACTATGACTTAATGCATGTTTATTGCACATAACCCAAGAACTCAATACAGATTCATTTTTACTATACTTATTATTGGTATTATTGTTATCATTGTTAGAGTTGTAAGCATAATATATTTAAAGCCTAAAAAAATAAATTCTAAATTAAGCTAATTTATTTCCAAATAATTACTTAGGAAAGTCATGAGTCTTTGGCTTTTTGTAACATAGGATTGATAATGATATTTTCCCTACTTTGGAAAATTTGGGGGAATTTAGTACCAAACAGGGTACTTTGTAAACTATAAATCACTATCCAGCTATAAAATAAATGTATACTTAGGAAATGTGCAGTTAGGATAACAATGGATTTTTATGCACATTTAGGAAAACACATGTTATAGTAGGATATGGTGAACTTTAGAGGCGTATATGAAAAGTCATTTGTATCATTTTGTCCTTAGATATTATTTTATACCCTGAATGATATGTTATAGCATCACAATGTTATTTTTTTATTTTTTGTAGTTGTAGATGGACAGTATGCCTTTATTTTATTTTATTTTTAAAAATTATTTTTATGTGTGCTAAGGATCAAACACAGTGCCTCACATATGCCAGGCAATTGCTCTGCCATAGAGCCATAGCTGCAGCCCCACAACCTTCTTTTATTTCATCGTATTTTGCATCTTTCAAACTATTTTCTTAAGATCAATTCCAGCTTTTCTGAGGGTCGGATGAATGTATTATCGACTTAAATGGAGATTCCCAAAATGAATTCCAAATATGTTTTGAGCAATATATATATTAAGTGGGTAGTCTTTCAAGGTGAGTATTTAAGAGGGTATACCATGTACTTATATGCATAAAACCTAAATTTTATTAAAAATGTATCTCATTATCTTGTCTTCACATCTTTATTTCTTAATTTCTTTTGCTGACAACTATGCTATCTGTAGATCTGTAAGGAAATCAAAATGTGTTTTTAGGAGATAAAAGTGTCTATATTTGTCCCCTTATAGATTTAACTATGAATTTGTTTGATTGTTAAAATTAATTATGTGGTCCTCTTTCTCCTCTCTTAGGATGATTCCATCTTGTGAATTGGAAGTTGCATCATTAGTTGATTTTGGCACATTAGTTGCCAATAGTAAAGTGTATTTTAAAGAGATTAGAATTATTAACCATGGCAAAGCTCCAGGTAAATATTTTCTGTCATATAAATTCACTTACAATTTTGGAAGTATTCGAATTATTTTATTTTTATTTATTTATTTTATTTGTTCTAATTAGTTATACATGATAGCAGAATGCATTTTAATTCATTAAACACAAGTGGAGCACAACTTTTCATTTCTCTGGCTGTACATGATATAGAGTCACACCACATGTACCTAGGGTAATGATGCTCATCTCATTCCACCATCTTTTCTATCCCCATACCCCCTCCCCTTACCTCCCTCCCCTTTGCCCAAAGTCCCATTCTCCCCATGTTCCCCCACATTATGGGTCATTTTTTAAACGTATGCCTTGTTTTATTAATAGGTTCTCTGAATCATCAAAAATATGCCTATCATTTGAAATAGCTCAAATCAAAAGCCTTTAAATAGCATGACTGTAAAAGGGAAGATAATGCAATAATTCAGGAAAAATGAACCTGCCTTCTTATGATACTAATTAATATAGCCTGACTCTCAGATGATTGGTGAATGCCCTGAGAAAAGGGAGGAGGAAGGTATCATAGAGGTGACAATGTCCTTAGCACTATCAAACAGCGGAATTTAGGGCACAGTGCCTTGCTATCTGTGTGAGCTGGGGCAAGTTTTTTTTGTTGTTGTTGTTAAATTTTAGATTGTTTATAAATTGAGACTAATACAATGTATGATTGTTAATTATGTACACCTTAAAATTGTGTCATAGTGTTTGGCTCATCCTAGGCACTCAGTGAGTATTTATCCTCTTTTAGTGCTAGACAGGACTGGATCTCTCTTTGAGATAGCTTAAGGAACACATAAACCAGATCTTAATCCCAAAACTCTTTTCTACTAACTGTGGTAGTTATCTGGGGTTGCCTGATTGATCATTGGGAATTATTAAGACAAAGGTGATATATCACATTACTGATTTTTTCCTAGGGTGTGAAAAAATAAAACTGATAACTGTTTTTAATTGAATATTGCTTATTATACTTACAATGTTTTAATTTTTAAATGATTGAATGTCCAGTATCTGTGAGTTGATGAAATATTAGGCTCATTTGTAGTCTTATTCCATTGTGAAGGATAGACTCTCTCATTGCAAGTGATTATGGACCATATGGTCCTGTGGACTGTGATTATACTTTAAACAATGATATGCAACTGAGAGATTTTTATTTGTATTATTTTACTGTTCAGAATTTCTCTTAACTATTGTTCATTCATAATCCTTCAGAGTTTAAATCACAATTATATATCTTTTTTATTCTAAAATCTCACCAAATTAAATAGTTTTATTACAACTGAAATCCCTTGGTAAAAGATAAATATGGATTTAATTTTAATTGAATACTTAATATAATTTTACTAAGTGAAATAAAATAAATAAAATTAAGCTACAGGCCTGGGTTCATATATTTTTGGAAAAATAATCCAAATTATCTTTTAGTATTGTATTAAAATTTTATATGTAATATTTGTACTAACTTGGTGAGGTATATTATAACTGAATACTGTGAAATGATAACTATTAACTTACAAACTGAAACAAATTGTTATCAATGAATTAGATTTTCTTATGACTTTGTCCCTCACTCTTGAATTTGATTATTTTTCTACCATTACCAAAATTGATAGTATGTATTATATTCACAGTAGTGATGCCTCTAAAGTGTCATAAAGTCCTTATTATCTACAAGTACATATACAAATTAATTATAATAGCAATGTATATTCATTAAGAAAAACACTTCTGCAGAAAATAGATTCCAAAACCAAAGATGATTTTAAAAATTTTAAAAAGCATTTCACATGACAAATATTTTATAGTTTTAGAGTCAATGTTAAAATGCTTACAGATTTATATCTGTACTTAAAAAGACAATAAAAAAACACAGAAGTTTTATGATTTTTACAGCTTTGTTTTTTTCTCTTTCTGGTCGTGTTGCTAGAGATGTTATCTTTGATTTTGTAGACCCAAAAGCTTATCCACGTAACAATTTCTTATGGTTTATTGTTATAGCCCATTATGGAGTAAACATCCAGGGATTTGGCCAAAAATTATTGAATACATTTTTTTCTCACCATTTATAAAAATGATTTCTAAGTTTTCTCCTGACTTAAAAGTTGTGTTTGCCTTTTCTTTTTGGGAAGATATGGTTCATTATTTAAGGTGTCTCTATATTAGTACATTGTAAGTTGATGAACTCCATGTTCCCTTTCATAATTTTATGGTATGGATAATACCCATATTGTCTTTCAGTTTTTTTTTTTGAAGGTTGAAAAAATATTATTTTAGCATGCTTTAAACTGCAGTCATTTCCTTCTTTGCTGACCATCCTCAATGATTTGAATAGATTTTTATAGCATAATATAATGGACAGCACTCGATAAAGTGTGGCAAACCCCTAAGGAACCCTTATATTTAATGTATTAAAAAAAGGAACAGCAGTTCACAAAAGAGAAATAAATAGGGGTAGAGGTTGTAGAAAGAGAATTATAACATTAATAGCTGATTTTTATTGAACACGATGTAAGCCAGAGAGTATGGTATGCAATTTATTATTGTTTAAATAGATGCAGTTTGACTGGAACTTGACAAATCTAGGTTCAGCTCGGCTGGGTGTACAGCTTCAAGCCAAGGAAGCTGAGGTGTTCTGTTTCTTACTGAAGGTCTGTGGGTCAACTGGATGGATTTGCTCCACATTTTCATATTCTGGGGCATAGGCCAAAGGGATAGCAATTACTCAGGAAAAACATTTCCCACTTCCCTAAGGAAATACATATGGATTGAAACTGGCATGCCATTAAAGCTCACATGTGAGATAATGTAAGAAGGCTTGGAGAAGAAATGACTGGGCTGTGAAAGCTTTAACCCAATCAGTGAATCACTCACCTGATGGGATTAATTGAGTGGTAATTGAAGGCAGGTGGGGTGTGGCTGGAGGACCTGGGCAGTGGGGGTGTGGCTTTGGGGTATATATTTTTATTTGGCAAGTGGAGATTTCTCTCTGCTTCTTGATCATCAAGCTGCTTCCTTCTTCCACATTCTGCTGCCATGAAGTTTAGCCTCACCTTGAGCCCCAAGGAATGGAGCCTACTGTCTATGGATTGAGACCTCTGAAACCGTGAGCCCTCATATAAACTTTTCCTCCGTAAAATTGTTCTAGTCGGGTCTTTTAGTCCCAGTAGCAAAATGCTGACTAAAACACATGCTATTGATTCTATCCACATGTTGTTGGTAAAGCAAATCACACAAAGAAGCTCAGTGTCAGGAGATGGGAAAACATACATTGTACATGGTCAAGTAAGAGTTTGAATGTAGAGAAGGGTGAAAAATTGGGAATCAAGAACACCAGCTGTTGCACTTTGGAAGAAGTAACTCAAAATTTCTGGGTGTCTATTTTCATATTTGTAAAATGAAGATAAATGATTGAACCTATATCATAGAATTGTTGAGGATTAAATTGAATAAAATATGTAAAGTTCTTAGTATAACTGTCTAAACATAGTAAGAGGATAATATTGTTCAGCTATCTGTAAGACTTGAGTCCTAACACAAGGCTCATGTTTGTTGGCTTATCCTGGCATCTGGAATTACAACTAAATCTGTCATTCTTGGTCAACACTAGACTATCTTCTCTGTAATATCTGTCCCCTACTAAGACTGTGAATGAAGCATTGTAAGGGTCCATGTGTAAACCATTACTCTTATTCCCCTTAGGTATATTTAAAACAGACTACCAGGGCCAACTACCCATCCTCATGTCTCCAGCTAGTGGTGTTGTGGAGGCTAAGTCATCAATGATTCTCAGAGTGAATTTCTGTGCAGACCAGCCCAGAATTGTAAATGAAGTGGCAAAGTAAGTATATATTATGGTTCTTAATTCTAATATGGGTCTTAATAACTGCCCTGTTTACTCTTCAGATGTACCTTTGATTGTATGTGAGCTTCTTTTTCTTTCATTCAGCAGTCATTCATTGAGGTTCTACTATTTGCCAACCACCAGGGTCTCAGAAATGGGAAGAACTAGAGAATAGCATATTGGTACAGAAAACAGGAGCTGCTATCTTGAATTTTGTGGAGTGGATCAGGGAAGGACTCCACCTACAAGGCAATAGATGAACCAAAGAATTATCAGTGAGGAAGAATTAGCTAGCAAACAGCAGTGATGTGATTGGGTATGTGGTGTATCTGTGTCTATGTGTAGGGGAAATGAGTGTTGGTGATAGAAGTGAGTTGGAGTAGTCATTTCAGGTAGAGCAAGTAGCAGACTTAAAATCCTAGAGGAGAAAAGGTGGTTTTACATATTGTGGGATCTGAGGCAATGCAGAGTCAAAGAGATGCAACGTGATGCTTGAAAGAAAAGTGGTGCTGGGCTGATCAAAGACACACCTGGGATAAGAAGCAAGCAAGAGAGAGCAGCAGCAACTCCCTCTTGAATGTTACCTTTTATAGGCTAAAATCATGGCCGGGAATTAGGGGTGGGCTTATTCTTGGTGATTGGCATAACGAGCATCCCCTGATTTTGTAGAAGGCAAGTTTGTTTCTCGGGAACAGAGACAGGAAGTTTTCCTATCTCTCAAAGAGGGAACAAGGAAACTAGCAGGTCACTTTATCTCTCAAGGAGAGAACAGAGAAACCAGCACAACTCCATCTCAGGGGCTGGTAAGTTGTCTCCTATCTCAATAAGAGAACAGAGAGAGACCAGCATGTCTCCATACCGGTAAGTTTTAACTTGAGTTTGTTTCTATTTTTTGAGAATAAGAACAGTGTTAATAAAATGGGGGTGGGGGAAAGGAAGGTGTCTGTAATTATGCCAACAATGCCAAATGAGATCAGAAAAACAGAATGACATAGATCCAGAACATTTTATGAAGTATTTCTGCATTTATTAATGGAAGGTGCAAGCAGTACAATGGGTCATCAACAGTATTTAAAAGAATGAAGTAAAAAATATCAGAATGTGACTCACATAGCAAGGGAAATTCTGTCTTATAAAAATTTCTCTTTGTGCATGTGTTGTGTGTGTGTGTGTGTGTGTGTGTGTATGCGTGTGTGACTACATTGCAATATAAAATATATTTCTTACTGAAGACCACAGTCATAAATGTGTGAGAAAATTTTGTGAATCCTGATAGGAGCATAGGTTTTATTGTGAAGGCTGTGAAGCCTCAGGACAGCTTTAGGATGAGAATGTCTTGACTAGTTTGCATTTTAGAAAAGTCGTGCAGGTAGCAGTGTGCAAAACAGATCAGGGTACACAAATGTAGAGTGGGCAGTCTGACTAGAAATTATAATAAAGCAAGAGGGAAATGATAAAGGCCTGAGCTAAGGAACAAATTGGGAGGATTGAGAAAAGTGTGATTGAGATATGTTAAGGAGGTAAATTTCACTAGAGTTGATGACTGATTGTAGAAAGAAAAGACAAAAGAAACAACATGTCTGTGGGAGAAGATCTTGAGTTCAGATTTGACATTTGGGGATTGACTTGCTTTTCAGAATCCTAGTAGAGCTGACTAAGACCTATTACATTCCCTTGTCTTGAGTCTGAGAAAGTAGTTTAGTCTAGGTATATTGGGTGAAGGGTCATCAATGTATAAGTGGTAGATGAAACAGGAAGTTATTAAGAATAACTCTAAGAAGGAAGGTAAAGTGTGAAAGAGTAGGAGAGAAATATCACTCAGTGTACATGGAGTTTACAAAGGATCCAAGTCTTAGAATGAGCAGGAAGGGAATAAGTGATATAGAAGGAAAACCAGGAAATATGGTGTCAAGGAAGCTAAGGGAGGACAGAGGTGTAAATAGATGAGATTAACAATACCCAATTTATTGGCTGTGATGTAAAATAAGTGCTTAGGTGATATGTGAGGAGTAGCCAGTTATTCGTGTTATATGATAGGACTAGATTAAAAAGATTGCATTTATGCCAAAGAAGGATAAATATGGAAATGCAGTTGTAAAAGATAATTGAAATTAATATAGGGAGTTTTATGGTTTTATGGGAAATATTCTTTTCAGCAAAGTAGTTGGGTTGTGCTGAGATACTTTATATTGGGGTATTAGAATATGCATGAGATTGGCTGTTAGACTTGAGGTATAGATTGAGTTAGCTCAGAATTCTAGAGCTAGAGGTAATCATGTAAATCATCTAACTCCAGAATTAATGAAATAATTGGTGATATGGATATACCATTGAGTTCTTTCTGGGGTCAGTTCATGAGTTTGTTTTCCAACTTTGTTATTTCCAGTAGACAATTAACTAGGTTGCACACATGCCATTCCACTGTATAGATTCAGACATCAATGCCTGTGAACCTTTGGCATGTATGTGAAATAAATTGGTGTTAGGCTATTGAATTTTGATTATAATACGATTTTGTAAGATTTTATCCATACATTTAGAAGACAAAATAAAGTATTTAAAATTCTAATAAAATATTTATATATGTGTTTATTTTATTATCCTATAGAGTGAGTTTGCAAGGACGTCCTGATATACACTTCAGTATCAAAGCTCATGTAGTTGAACAGATTATTGAATTGTTTAACATGAACAGTGATAAAAAGTTGGAATGCATACGCTTTGGTTCTGTTTTCTTTGGAACATCAAAAATTGAACAGGCAGTTCTATATAATAATAGCCCAGAATCCATAAATTGGGTGGCAATAATTCAAGATGATTCTGTTGGAGAAGAAATGGTAAGTAAATGGTGCAACAGCAAATGGCATAACACTTATTATGATTTAAAACAGGTCGTTCTGAACCTACTAATAACCACAAGCTGTTTAATTATGCTGAATGTATTTTAACATGGGCAGATAGATGTGATTTCATGTGTATTCCAGGTTGACCTTAAAAACTTTAGTAAATTAAGCTAACATTTATAATAATGTTTATCCAAAGTAAACCAGTTAAGTATCATGGATCAGTGACTAATTGTAGTGATTTTTGTTCTCATCAATTTTCAATATCCTTTAAATTTTATCATGTACCTTACTTGGTCAAATTTAGGTATGTGTTATTTTAAAGACAGATATTCTCTATTTTCTAGATTCTAAAATTTCAATGATTGTTTTATGAGCTCCTCTTAAAATATTTTTGTGGCTTGCCTTTTATATATGCTTTTATATGCATTTATTTCTGATTTTATGTTACAGGGTACAAATATTCGACAAAGAACAGATGCTGCTTTAAATAATCTCACCTACTTAAACAAAATAAAGAATATAGATATTACCAATTTTATCTTCTGTGTCCCGAATGAAGGGACTTTACTACCTTATCAAAAGGTTATAATTACATTTTGTTTCAGCCCAAAGTAAGTAAGCCCAAAATTTATTCCATTATAATATTATTAAGTACTAATGGAAATTGTGTTAGCTACACTTTAACCAAATTGATTTTAATACTGTCATAATAAAGCTTGCCTAAAAGCATAAATCAGATTTTTCTTGTTATTGTTCTAAATATTTCCAGCATGGTTAATATTATTTCCAGTAATTTTCTTTTATTAGCACATCATAGTTATACTTAATGCTTATTTTCATTTTGACAAAATTATACATGCATGGAATTTGATTTACTCTTTCAGTACTGGTACCCCTCTTTCCTCCCCTCTTCCCTTTCCCTATTCTCCTTCCTTTACTATACTGGTCTTCCTTTCACTCATTTATTTATTTTTGATTGATGCTTTATAGATATACATAAAGGTGGAATTCACTGTGGTATATTTATATATGCACATAACATTCAATGTTTGTGAATATAGTGCTAAAAAATTACTCTAGACCTTGTGGAAATGTGGTGGTGGAAGTGCTAAGTTTTTTTTTTTTTCCCTCATTATAACCACAAACTGATTTGTGCAGTCCAGAACTTGTTGTCCCTGCAGAAATAGGTACGTGCAGTATGTAGAGAGATCTCCAAATAGGATGCAGTACTCATTGTAGGGCAGAATCTTTGATGACTGAGTATTTTAAGTATTAAATATATAGTACCTGCTGGGATTAACCACAACTGTTTTCTGAAATGTATACAAATTTTTGATACTTAGACCAATATATTTTTTTTTATTTTAATGTTCTTGGTTTTATTATTTAGACTGGAAAGATTTTTGGAAGTGTTACTTTTAATATATAGTAGCAATTGTAGTGACACCTTGGTATGATGCAGTGCGTGTCAGTAACCAATCCTATTGCAAGTATGTTTATTCTTATTTATGAGAGGATAATATTCAATGGGCTTTTTTGTTGCAGTAGAGTCACTTGGTAATATCAATTGCCTTTTGTTTTGGGGGGGGGGGTTACTGAGGATTGAACTCAGTGGTGCTTAACCACTGAGACATATCCCAGCCCTTTTTTAAATTTTTTATTTTGAGACAGGGTCTCATTAAATTGCTTAGGGCCTCGTAAATTGGTGAGGCTGGCTTTGAACTTGCCCTCCTCTTGCCTCAGCCTCCCAAGTTGCTGGGATTATAGGCCTGTGCCACCATGCCTGGTTCAATTGCTTTTTGAAGACTGAGTTATGTTTGAATTTTAAGGAAGCTACTAAGTAATTGTCCCACTTGTCCAATCTAAAATTGCCTTACGAATGATACCTTCCTATAGGAAATTTATTTGGTGAATCTATAAGATTCTGTTTGATAAGCAATATTTTAAATTCCAAATATTCTTTTCCATGGCAGCATGTTAACTTTGAAAGTCTGGCATGGACCTGTAGGTAGGAGTATGATTTGAAATCTTAGTCAAATGTGTTTGAGCACGCCATTTGCATTCCTTTTTCATCTTACATATCATTCTTTTGTGTATTTGTGAATCAATTGCCAGAAGAGCTAACCTCTAGGTAAGGCACATAAAGATAGGTCAGTGAGCAGGCCCATGATGTAACCCTTCTGTCTTTGATCCTACTTCCCTTCTTTCCACCCTTCCTTTTTCTCTAACAAGATTTAACTCGTACAAATCTTGTTCTCAAAATTACTTGTTGTCCATGAATAAGAAGTTGGCTTGCAATATGCATTTACTAAACTGGAGGAGAAAAATATGTAACAGAAGTTTTCAGTTACTCTCAAGAGTGAGATAGACTATTGTAGAAAATTGATCAGAGTCCTTGGTCAGCAATGAATTCTGCCTGGAAAGAAAATCCTTTACAGAGAAAGTGGCATTTGAGGTAGATCTTGATGACTTAGTGCATTTAAGTTACTCTTGTATTAGAAATGTTGGCATGAACTTATTTTTCTGGACTTTGTACTCTGTGGCCTTTTTTTGTCAAGTCTGTATCTGTTCAGTAATTTTGGAAAATAGATACCAGTTATATTTCTCTTAACTTTCATTTGCTTGCATAGATTTAAGGATTGAGTTGATATTTTCTTTAAGAGGTGGTAATGTATATCACCTTTGCTTTAAAAATAACTGATTACAATTTTTACAGGCTAGTAACTGATGGTAAAAAAGATATTGACCCTTCACACAGGCAAGACTATGCTGTCTTTTTGAGATTTGAATCTGTAGGAAGTAAAGATGGATTTTTGAGAGATGATAACTATAAAACCATCAAAAGTAAGTATAAAATTGACAAAACCATCAAATGTATAGCAATTAAAATTATTTAAAATTTTGACATCGATTTGTGGAGGCACTTTAATAAAATTGTAATTATTAGACTGAACAAAAATACAAGCATATTTAAGTGACTTTGGCATATGTTAAGGATGAAATCAACCTTAGAATCATTCACATACTAATTTTCTAGGTTAGAATTTAGATAACTTTATATCATTAGATAAACATGATACTAAAGAGTTGGATTTTTTTAAAAAAAAAACTGGTTTTATTTTTCAATTTGTTTATTTTTTATTACCTCTATCTCCCTGTGAAATTGATCTTTTACTTCCTGGATTTGTTTGTCAATGTGATCTTTCATTGTCTGATTTTGCTGTCTCATGTCTTCCTTGAGACTCCAGATCATCTGAAGCATATATATCCTGAACTCTTTATCTGATATTCCATCTGTTGCAGCTATTACCTCTTCTAAAGTTGAGTTGRCCTGCATTGCTTGTGGTCCTTTCTTTCCTTGTCTTTTCATACTGCTCGCGTTTCTTTCTGCTTGGTGCAACTGTTGTGTTTTGAAATTTACCCCCTATTTATTTATGTTGCTCTTGTATACTTGAAAAGTCTCCCTTGCAGGTGCGGGCGGCGGCTGTGCCCCTACTCCAATTGGGGTGACGTGTCTACCACGCTGGCGGCTCTCTGGGCCTGTTCCGGGAGTGGAAGGCGGCTCTGCTCTGTCCCTATTCCAATTGGGGTGTCGTGACTACAATGCTGGCAGGTCGCTGGGCCTGTTCCGGGCGTGGGCGGTGGGCTTGGCTGGCGGGATTCCACCTAATGGCAGTCCCTAACCTCCCTGCTTGCTAATTAATGGCTTCTCTGAGGCGCCACGCCTTCTGTAGCCACAGGGCAGGCCACGAGAATCAGTTGGCCTGGATCTCCGGGGCCCTGCTGCAGGCTGCTGGGATCCCTGGCACTCTATCACTTTGATTTTTTCTGCTTGCCCCTCCCCCAGCGCTGGCTAGCCAGGTTTCCTTTTGGCTGCTACTGGGAGGAGGGGTTGGAGGTCAGGTGTCTCTGGTTTCCCCCTAGTCTGTATGGAGGCTCAGCTTGATACTCCCTCTCCCGGCAAGCCCAGGAGAGATTTTATGCGAATTCCCGCTGTCTGGGGGGTGAGCTGAATGACACCGACCTGATTTGATGTCGCACTCTGAAGGAGAGTGGCGGTGTATCCTTCAGCTTTCCCGGATGGTGGCCGCTGACTGCCTCAGCGGAGTGTCCGCTGTGGGGGATGGGACTGTACCGCTTCCTTCCCCTTCTGAGAACCCGTGCTCGGCCCAAGGGTCCGTGTGGGCTTGGCTGGTGGGATTCCACCTAATGGCCTCTGGTTTTATTTTTCTATGTATGCCTAGATTTGTTTTTAGGGCTTGGCATGGGAACAAATGACTCATTCCATTTCTACCAGACCTTCATCTCTCTTAGACTCTACACAATAACTCTCAAAGACAAAGACTTAGGTGATGTATCTTGTCATAGGATACTGATAACGGCATATGATTTATAGGTCACATGTGAAAGTACATTATACTTTTTATATTCTCAGTTAATATTGGGCTGGTTGTAGTAAGGAAAAAGATGGAACAAGACTTGGAATCACTTCAGCAAGACAGATCAGATAAAATAAACAGGTTAGGGATTAAAATCCAGAAAAATAAACTGTGCCCAAGAGGGGGTAGGTTCATCCTGGATACTTAGGAATTTCAGAAGTCTAGAAGATATGCAGGTCAATTCAAGTGATATTGAGCAAGTTTTAACTGTGTTCCTAGAACAGAAATTTATTACATCATTAATTTTGTCATAGTTTGTGATATTGAAAGATGCTGATCATAGAATATTTGCAGATTAATCTAACTTTGAATAGCTAGTGATGGAGATGCTACATTTACCTCAAAAGGTAATTTAGAATCAAGAATCATCCAATAAGAGCATCAGTGAAGAAATACAACTCTTTCAGTTCTAGTTATATTACTGTCTATAAAACTAAAAACTATAATCCATAGATTCTGTCTTATTTCTTATGTCTCAAAAACTTCATGTTTATTTCTGCCCAAATTATATTCCATTGTCCCATTATTTTAATCACTCTTTTCCATGTACATTTAAATCTTTGTTCTTTCCCAATTTTGAATGAGTGGAAGTATTCTAATCCTAGTAAATTCAATTCTACTCTGGATCTGTATGTGGAAAGTTGATTGTGCTGGAGAAAAACATGTAACCACTAACCAAATGGATTCTTTAAGATATTTGATATTCCCATTGTGTTCTTCCATTCATTGTTTGTCACAATCCAAGATGAATATCACACACCTTTTATTTTTTCTTCAAGTATCCCATTTTTCCTCCTTCATCTTTACTCTAAGCTTATAAACACTTTAAGTGGCCTTCTAGGTATTTCTATTAGGATATTGTGTTAGTCTGCTTTTTGTGGCTGTGACCAAAATACCTGACAAGAACAACTTAGAGGTGGAAAAATTTATTTTGGCCTCATAGTTTTAGAGGTTCAGGTCATGGTCTGCTGGCTCAATTGCTGTGGGCCTGAGATGAAGCAAATCATGATGGTGGGAGGGTGTAGTAGAGGAAAGCATCAGTTCACCAGAACCAGTAAGGGGAGGGCAGGTGAGAGAGAGAGAGACAGAGGGAGGGAGGGGGGAGATGGGGAGACACCAGGGATAAATAATCCCCAGGGTCTTGCTCCCAGCCATGTCCCACCTGCCTACAATTATCACCCAGTACACCTGGTCATCCATTCAAATTAGTAATACATCAAATTAATTAATCCACTGGTAAGGTTTCAACTCTCATAATCTAATAATTTTACCTCTAAACATAGCTGTAATACCAAATACATGAGCTTTTCAGGGGACATTAAAGATCAGAAACACAACAGTTATCTAGAAGGCCTCTCGAGCTTAATATGTGCCAAATGGAATTCCCAGTTTCCCCATAACCCCACCCTTCTTCAATGTTTTCTGTTTCAGGAAATGGCAACTTCATCATTTCATTGCTCAGGCCAAAAAAAATTAGTGTCATCCTTTATCACTTTCCTATATCCATTCTGTCAGCAAATCTTACTCTACCCTCAAAAATCTATCTAAAGTATGATCATTTCTCATCATTCTTCTATTCCTTTCCCCTAGCCGTATTTGTTTCCTTAGGGTCTTTTTAAACTGCCAACCAAGTTCCTACCTTAGAGTATTTGTATTTTCTGTTCTTTCTGCCTAGAATAGACTTTTCTGGATGTTCATGTGATTTGCTTCCCGATTCCCTTATATTTTTGCTCAAATGTCCAAAAGAGAGGCCTTTTTTATTTTTTAATATATTTATTTTATATTTATGTGGTGCTGAGGATTGAACCCAGTGCCTCATGCATGCTAGGCGAGCACTTTACCACTGAGCCACAACCATAGCCTGAGAGAGGCCTTTTTGACTTTTTTACATAAAATAACATCCCAAAGACCTTGTATTCAATCTGTCTTACCCTACTTATCCTTATAGCACTATCCTCTAATAAAAATAAGTGTATTGCTTAGTTGTTCATTATCAGTATCACCTCACTAGAATGTAAAGTTTGAGAACAAGGTTTTTATATTCATTGTTATAGACCCAAGGCCCAGACGAGTGCCTGGCACAGAGAAGGCACTCAATATTTTGCTTGAATGAAAAAATTAAATGAGCTACCTATTTCTCATCAGGTCCTTTAAATGACACTATATGTACTAAGTAAATATATTCTGGATTTCCCCACTTTTTATGTTCAATAGCTATTATTGCTTTTCCAGGTGATCAATTTCAGAAAGTGGAATTAGCACTGACAGGCTCAGGACTTCCTGTCTTATTACATTTTGATCCAGGAAAAGTCCTTAATTTTAAACCTTGTTTCGTGGGTGAACGTTCAGACATTCTGTGCATTGTACAAAATCGATCTAAATCCCTTCCTGTGACATACCGTTTTCAAAAAACTGCACATTTTAAAATTGATCCTGAAAAGGGCAAGATACATGAAGGATGTATCCAGGTAAGGTAATTTTTCTCTACTTTCTTTCCATATTGCTTCAAACATTTTAAGGTCTGCTGCAATGCTATGTAGAGGATTAAAAAGCACATTATTGTACCAATGTTTATAAAGTGTATCTCTTATTAGTTACTTCTATTAATTATGAATACTTTCATGTGTTGTCATGTAGAATCTATAATTAAGTACTTGTCACATGTCGGAAAAAAACATTTTCTATTCTAGGGAAGTTAAAGATGTACAAAACATAGTTATTCTAAGATATTTTAGTGTAGAACAGAATTGTAAGATATATACAATGTCTTATGTATATGTAAGACATACAGATCTATGACATAAGAATGTAGAATATACATTAGAGCTATACCACAGTGATATAGAAACTCAGAGAACACAGCGTGATTACTTACAACCAGGTAGAAAGGTCTTCATAGGAGACTTTAAATACTGAGAAGAATTTTGAAATTTGAAAGTGGTGATACTTTAGTATGAGACTTGTACGGCTGATACAAAGCAGAAAGAACACCAAGGGATTCCCATGGACACCAGAACAGCTTCTGGATGTCAGGGGATATTTTACTCATAACTGTTATTCAGACAACTCTTTCCCAGATCCTCTAAGCCAGGGGTTGGAAGGAAATGGTCTGAAGGTCAAATGTGCCCCAATGTCTGTCTTGATAAATAGTGTTATTGGAACATAGCCACTCATTTTTTCACTTACTGTCTAGAGCAGTTTTCATGCTCCAAAGTCAGAGATGAACAGTTTTTGAGAAGATGGTTCATAAAGCCTATTTTTTTTTTTTTGGTACTGGGGTTTGAACCACTGAGCTATACTCTCAGCCTCCCCAAAGCCTAGACTATTTAATGTCTGGTAGTTTAGAGGAATAAGTTTGCCAAATCCTACTCTAAACAGTAAACATGAGTGCTTTCAGTTTCACCTTTGTTATGTCATTGTCTTTCTCCACTGCAGAGCTCATAAAATTCTTGACGGAAGCTTTCTTTTAATTGCAACCAAGAACTATTGTATACATGTTCATATACACGTAGCTTCTATTTATATCTCTCACTACTTCATTAGTGTGATTTCACCCATATGGATAGATTTATTAATTTTCATAGAATATCAAATGTTAAATACATTACACAAAATATTTTCTTTTGAACTCTTTCCTAGATTTTTAGTCCAAGCCTCTTTAATCCACAAAATCATTTTTTCTTCTAACAGCATGCATATCTTTCAAAACGTATCTAATAGCTATTTCCCTAATATTTTTAACCCTCTATGATTGTGGATTTCTCTAGCACATATAATTTTCAACTTAGTTAAAGATGTGAATGCAGGAAGTGTGGAAGACACTGGAGAACTGTGATGTCCACAGACTAGTCAAGTGGCATTTGACTACTTGGAAATGTGGTGAAATTATTCTTTTTAGAATAACAGCTTTATTGAAATATAATTTACATGCCATAAAACTTACACATTCATTCTATTTTTGATATTTAATTTGTTATTTTTAGTTATAAACGACAAACTTACACATTTAAAGTGTATAATTCAGTGATATTAGCATTATGAATAATGTGCTGTAAACATTCATACACAGGTTTTTGTGTGGATATATTTTTAATCCTCATGAAATACACCTAGGAGTGGAATAGTTGGGTCATATGAAAGCTCTGTTTAACTTTTTGAGAAATTCTCATACCATTTGCCAAAGTGATGCATTATTATATATTCTCCCCAGCTTTGAATGAGCATTCCAATTTCTCTGCCTCTGTGCCCACATATGTCAATGTCCTTCTTTGTTATTATAGCCATTCTAGTGGATACAAAGCAGCATGTCATTGCAGTTTTCATCCCCATCTCCCCAGTGACTAAGGATGATGAATGTCTTTTCATGTGCTATTCTTCATTTGTATATTTTCTATGGAGAAATGTTTATTCATATCTATGATGGGCAGAATAATGGACTCCTAAAAATATCCCTATCTCAATCTCAATTTCATGAGCATGTGATGTTCCATGGTAAAGAATTCAGCTTTGTGTTAGAGTTAAGATGGATAATCAATTGACCTTCAAATAGGGGAAATAGGTTGGATTGCCAAAGTGGGTGCATAAAATCAGAAGGGTCCTTAGAAGTGGAAAAGGAAGGGAAAATAAAGATCAATATTAAAGTGATATGATATGAAAAAGAAAGATGTCAGTGACCTTTGGTGGCTTTGAAAATGCAAAGGGGGGGGGCATAAAGTAAGGAATAGAATGTGAGATCACCTCTAGAAGCTAGAAATGACAAATAAAAAAATAATCTAAAATAAAACAGGTTCTCCACTAGAGCTTCCAGAAGTAAATGAGTTCCACTGCTGCTTAGATTTTAGTCCATTGAGATCTGTCTCAGACTTCCACCTACATGTGTTAAATAAGAAATTTTGAGTTGTTTTCACCCAAGTAATTTTAAATAATTTGTTATAGCAAATTTAGAGACTTATACAATTTCATTTCCCAGTTATTACTTGAGTGTTCTTTTAGTTGGTGAATTAAGAGTTCTTTATGTATTCTGGATAAAAGTCGCTATTGCATAAATGAATTACAAATATTCTCTTCCATTCTGAGGGTATCTTTTTTACTTCCTGGAGAGTATCCTTTGAAGTTTTAAATTTAAGTCCAATTTATCTATTTTGTTTTATGCTTTTAGTGTATCATATCTAAGTAGTTATGGAGTAACCAAAGTTACTAAGTTTTGTCCCTATGCTTTCCTCTATGAATTTTAGCTTAAACATTTAAATCTATTATCCAGTTTGAATTTGTTTTTGTATATAATGTAATTTAGAAATTCAAGTGCATTCTTTTATATATAGATGTCCCGCTATCTCAGAATTTTGTCACATTCATCAAAAACCATTTGACCATGAATATAAAGATTTCTGGACTAACATTGTTTTATATATTTATGTTTATCCTTATGCCATTACCTTTGTATATCTCTTCCTATAAGTTTGTAATTATATTTGAAATTGGGATAAGTGAGTTCTCCAAATTAGATTTTTTAAAGGGTGTCATTTTTATTAGTTTATTATAGTTATATATAATACTGGGTTCATTTTAATATAATCATTCATGCATACAATATAATTTGCCCAATTCAGACCCCTGTACTCATTTTCTTACCCTCTTCCCTCCCCTTGTTCCCTCTTCTCTGGACTACTGGTCTTTCAGCTATTTATTTATAGTTTTTGTGGTTTCAACTTCAGAGTTAAACTGGCATCAGAACAAACTAGAATATTCTCTCTCATCTTTGATTTTTTTAAATAATTTGTGAAGGATTGGTGCTAATTGTTCTTTAAATGTAATCCACTATTGAATCCATTGGTTCTGGATTTTCTTTGTTAGATATTTTTTTTTTTTTTTTTTTAGTAATCAATCTCTTTACTTTCTATGGAGTTATTCAAATTTTTTTCTTCCTTTCTGGGTCTATTTAAGTAGTTTGGGTCTTTCTAGAATTTACCTGTTTCGTCTAGATTATCTTATCTATTGGCATACATTTGATTATATTCCCTTATTCTCCTTTTTATTGATGTCACTAAAGATGATAGTGACATCCTGTTACTCAAAGCTCTCCGGTCAGTGTCCCCAATGCCAATCCAATAATGAAAACATGGTTTTGAGAAAAAGGAAAAAGAAATTTATTGCTTTGCTAGCAAAGGAGACTCCTGTCCCCAAGGCTGTGGTTCTGTCCATCAGAAGGAACAGGGGGCTTTTAAAGAGGTAATTCAAAGGTGTTCCCTGTGGGTGATAAGGAGTGTTATAATTCACTTGTTAATTTGTGAGATAGTCATTTCTGAGATCTTCTGGCACCATCCCAAAGTATGAATTACTTAGTTCTTTAGTATGTATGTTCTTGGACAGATAACTTGGCCTAGGATGGGAAAGAAAGATAATCCTATTTCTCCAGAGGTAGGAAGGGGGAGAAGGATAAGAGAGGGAAAAAAAAAAAAAGACCATTTAAAAAATAAGTCCCAGTGGCAGAGCAGAAAGGGTTATATTCAAAGCATGAGGTGGACCACTGTTACACTTTTGCTGTATTTCATACATTTTGGTACGTTTTAGTTTTCCTTCATCTTAAAGTATTCTCAAATTTCCTCTGTGATTTCTTCTTTGATCAGTTGGTTGTTGTTTAGAATGATATTAATTTTCAACATTTGAGTTTTTCATGTTCTTTTGATTTCTAATTTCATTGAATTTTGGTTGGAAAACATACTGTGTAGATTTTAGTACTATTACCTATTTCATGGCTTAACATAGATCTATCTGCAATGCATTCTGCTATTGTTGGGTTGGATGTTCTTTGGATGTATTTTAAACCTAACTGGTTTATGCCATTTTTTGATCAGAGGCCTGCTGCACCCCGATATTTGGTGTCATAAAATTTCTAATCTACAAGTGACTGAAGGAAACTGTTTACAAATGCAGAAGAGATGAGGGGAAACTGCTCTTTTCACAGGCATCTGTTCATCTGTTAAACTTCTAGCCTTCCTGTGTGCCTCATGGCCTGGCACTGGGGTGTTTACATTTCAAAAAGGGTGAAGTCCAGACTCTAAGAGTTATTTTACATTCCAAAAGGTTAGAGTAAGAAACCTGGTTAATTAGGTTTCCTGAAGAAAGGCTCTTAGAAAGGGAGGGGAAGCACTTTCATTTTACAACCTGGTCTGGCTTTACCATCTCATTACCACAAAAATGTATGGATATGTTAATTAGCTTGGTTGAACTATTTCACAACATATACACACATCACAATGCTAAGTTATATACTACAAATGTATACAACTTTTGTCAATTATACCTTAATAAAATCAGGGATAATGAAATTACTGGTTTTGTAGGCAGTCACCATAAGGGACCTCAATTAAGTTTGTTTTCATTTGTAAAGACCATTCCAGGAGGTTAACCTGTAGAAACTTTTCAATCATTCCAGCTAACTCCTGGAGTGGAGTATCCTGGAGTGGAGGGAGAGTGGAAGTGGGGGTGGACCCAAATGGAGATTATAGGAAAGTTCAAACTCAAGGGACACAGCCAAATGAAGGGTTGCAGACCAAGCCAATAGCCTTAACACTTTTTCAGTACCTCCTTAGCAAGGAGTTTAATCAGTGCCTCTACCCAGGTGGAAAACTTGATATCAGTCCCCCTCTTGCCTTGTGGGGAATTCTCTTTTTTTTTCCTACTTAAATAAATCCTACTCTGTTCACTCTTGCCTTCCATTATTGTCTGTAGATTTTATTTTTCAATTTTTCTAGACAAGAACCCAGAAGGAAATTGGTGAAATCTAGTTCCATCTCAAACTGATTTCAGTATTAGCTTAATTTCAATTATATATGAAAATTTACTTCAATATAATTGTTTCCTCTTCCTTTGTGCTGTTACTGTCATACAAATTTATTATTTTTAAAAGCCTGTCATTTCTCTTCAATAATTGTTTTATGCATTTTTAAATCAGATGAATTGGAAAGCATTGTAAATAAAAATACATTTATGATGTCTTTTTTATGTATGTAGATAGTTATCTTTAGCCATGCTCCTAATTGCTTTGTCTAAATTTACATAATTTTCAAGTGTCTTTTATTTCATCCTGAATGAGTCCCTTTAGTACTGTTCTAATGCAAATTTTCTAGTGACACATTCTTTCCACGTGTATTGGAGATGTCCTAACACATACAGTTTTGACTGAGTTTTTGGTGTGTGTGGGGGGCTATCACTGGGGATTGAACTCGGGGACTCTCAACCACTGAGACACATCGCCAGCCTTATTTTGTATTTTATTTACAGACAGGGTCTCACTGAGTTGCATAGGGCCTCGCTTTTTGCTGAGACTGACTTTGAACTCGGGATCTTCCTGCCTCAGCCTCCTAGCCACTGGGATTACAGGGATGCATGACCATGCCCGGCTTGATTGAGAGTTTTGCTAGTTACAGAATTTTGTGTTGACTTGTCTTTTTCATTTGGTATTTGAATGTGTCATCCCCAGTGCCATCTTGCCTCCAATATTTCCATTGCAAAGTTAGCTATGTATACTTTTGAAACCTTTGATGTGATAAGTCACTGTTTTCTTGATGTTTACAACATTCTTTTTATCATTGGTCATTGACAATTTGACTCTCTAGATGTTGATTGATATCTTTGACTTATTTTACTTGGGTTTTGTTGAGCTTCTTTGTTATACAAATTGATGATTTTCATCTAAATTTCTTAACTTTCCAGTTATTATTTCTTCAAATACTCTTCCTGCTCTTTTCTTTCTCTCTTCTCTTATGAAGACTTCTATTATTCATATAGCACTATACTTGATGATATCTCAAAAGTCTGAGATGCCTCTTTTTTTCTTCATCTTTATCTCTCTTTTCTAGTCTAGATAATGTCATATTTGCAAGTTTATTGATTATTTCTGGTGCTAGTTCAAATCTCTCATTGAGCTTTTTTAGTGAATTTTAAAATTTTAGTTTCTGTGCTCACTAGAATATTTGTTCTTTTTAAAAAATATATTTTATATTTCACTGAAATTATCTATTTCACTAGACATTGTTCTCAAATTTATTTTAAATCTTTAGACCTGTTTTCCTTTAGTTCTTACAGCATATTTACAATAGATGATTTATCATCTTAGTCTAATAGGTCCTACATTTGAATTTCCTTAGGGACACTATCTATTACTGTATTGGCCATACTTTCTTGCTTCTTTTGTTGTCATAATTTTTTGTTGAAAAATGGGCATTTTAAATAATATCATTTGGCAACTATGAAATTTAAATTACTCCAAGGTTTATTGTTACTGCTGATTTTGTTGTTGTTTTGTTTATTTAGTGACATTTTAGACTAATTTTGTATTGTTTTCTTTATCGTGTGCTGCCAATCAAGTCTTTACTCAGTTAATTAAGTCTTCATTTAATGATTGGACAGAGCTTCGTTCAAATTGCTTGAATTAACAAGTCTCAGCCTATGTCAGAAGCCTCTTTGTAAGTCTGTTGAGGCATGTCTTCAAAATTTTAGCAGGTAGTTTCCAATCCGTTTTAGCTTTCAATTCCTCTCTATAAGGAGTCTCAGAGTCAACCAGAGGTGAGAGATTAGAGCTATCTCAAGTTTCCCCGGGGATGTACACAGTCTGCAGATGTGTATGGCAATCCAGATACCCAGAAATATGTCAGAGATTTCCAAATACAATATGAATACCTTATTCTCAAGTGTTTTTTAAAATTTATACGCTTAATCCTTTCTTTTCCCATTATTAGATTCTTTTTTAAACTTACATGATGTCACCTGAAGTTGCTGTGATATTTAAAAATTGTTATGTTATTTATATATATCATTGTTATATACATGTATGTGCTTTTTTGAAGAAATCCTGGGGAAAGGGTTCTTCATGGGGAATGAGTTCTGATTCACAGCAAATGAAGATGTGACCTCATAGGCTTTTTAGCCAGCAGCCAGACAGAACAAATTGTTACAAGTTCTAAAGATGGAACTTCTAGAAATCTTCAAACCCATTCTTCTCCCTTCCAATTTGCTAGGCTAATGATTTTCACAGCTACCATAGTTGCAATGCTGTTTTTCAAGAAGACCACAAAACTGTGTTTAGGAGAATGGAATTATAACAAGTAAAAATGCCACAAAGACTTCTATTCTCTTATAGATTCAGCAACTTTAAAAAAAGTACTCCCTGGAGTTTTGTATCCCTTTAGATAATTTCTGTATATCTCAAAAATAGATTTTGGCAAAATTTTTGCCAGTATTTTCTGTGGAGAAGCGGATTTTTGGAGGTTCTTAGTTTTTTGGGTTTTTTTTGCACTGGGGATTGAACCCAGCCAGGTATGCTCAACTACTGAGCTACATCCCCAGCCCTTTTTATTTTTTTTATTTTTAGACAGCATCTCTCTAAGTTGCTTTAGAGCCTCACTAAGTTTCTGAGGCTGGCTTGAAATTGTGGTCCTCTTGTCTCAGGCTCCTGAGCTGCTGGGATTACAGGCATGTGCCACCATGCCCTGCCTTAATTTGCCATTCTTGAAGCACTTTGGTATTATGTTCTTAATTTTTCTTAGATAAATTTCCAATGAGTATCTTAAATGTTTGTCAATGCTGAATGTTGCTAAAGTGCTTTATGTTACATGATGAACTAGCATTCCTTGAAACTAAAGTGAATTGGTTTTCCTGGTTTGCTTTTATTTTTTTCTGAACAATAGTATATTGATTACTTTTCCTCTTCTTTTTTTTTCTTTTATTTATTATTTTTAGAATGTGATGTGCTCATTTATTCCACATCAAATTGGAAAGTTTAAAGTGAAGCAGGTGATAGATATTATTGGCCCAGTGGCAGATGAAAATTTGCAGTCTTCATCAATGAAACCGTTTTATCACATATATTTAGAATTCAATAGCATCTGCAAACCTTTCACTAAGAAAGTTGTGATGAAAATTAATCCTGGTATGCTATTATGATTTTCACCTGCTTTTGATTTAGTTGTTAATGTAATATTATCTTAATATACTAATTGTTTAGCTCTATATCAAATATGACCTACTTCAGTGGTTATTTTAGAATGTATCAAAACCCTTTAGTAGATCTGTTCAAATACATGTCACTGACCTCCATCCCAGCACTGATTATTAAATAGGTCTGTGTTGGGGCCCAAATATTTGCATTTCTACTTTATTCCCAGCAGAGGTTGTGTTCCTATTCTGAGGATCACATGGTTTAGTAACCTATATAACTTCTAAATATTTTAATGTTTTTGTTTTTTTTACATTTTATTTTTTCTGCTTTGTTTACTTGAGCTTATAATATAAACTAGTTTTGACCATTTCATAGATTTTTCTTGCTGCTGTTTTATCCATTCCTTTATAATCTTTTATGTACTGAAACATGTAAAGTCACTGATACATAGCTGTCTTTAACCTACAAAAATTGCATTTTCATATGGATCAATGTAAATCCTTTAGGTTATTATATTTTATTTTTATGCATTATTTAAGTATTATTTTGATAAATTGTTTTGTGTGGGATAGCATATATGTTATTTCTGTGGTTTTGAGGCTTTAATATTTAAGTTAAAACCAATTCTCTAGTATATTAACTATTACATAGCATTTTTTAAAAACTAAAATTCAAAGTACAATATATAAACTTAATATTCAATTCTATAAAAGGTATATCCCCTTTGATCACTAATCCCATCGGACATTTTGTGGTCAGTGATTTGGAAAATTATAAGGTCCAGGCACCTGTAGCAATGCTTCAATCAGCCATGACACACATTCATGATCATCGAACAAATGAGGAATCAATGAAGGATGCACTAATAGCCTTTCCTAATGACCGAGCTGCAAGTATCAGGTCTGAAGACAACCGTAAACATTTCAGGTAACATGTAATATTAAAAACTGAAATTTTGAAAGACATAATATTTAAGATGATATGCAGAGGTCTTATCAGAACCTGATATAAGAAACTAATGATGGCAATAATAATAGTAATATCTTATGAGATGGTTTTTGCATGCCACTGTATTTGCTTTATCCAACCTCTTATCACTTCTATTTATTTGCCACAAAGCGAATGTTATACAAAATAATTCTTAAAATATATCATTGACAACTCTAGAAGAACAATAGAAATGATCACCTTTGGAAATGTAAGAAATCTTTAGAATAGTCATGTTTATTAAATATAGTTAAAACCTTGAATTTATCTAAGTAAAAAACTTAAAATTGTGATCAAAAACAATTATCCTCATCTTTGTTTACACACTCAAAGACACATTTCCAATAACCTTACCCAAACTGAACTAAAACTTTCCCAGTAAGGTTAATAAGGAGTGTTAGACTTCAATTTAAATTTATCCAAACCTCAAAGAAATTGCTATTTTACCAATGGTTAGTTAGACGTGACCAAGGCATCTTGATATCTTTTTCTGGTCCTGAGCCCAGAAATGTTTTAAAAACTTGAAACTTTCAGAACTAGTTTTCTTTTGGGCCTGTTTTTTTGCTATGAATAGTATATCTAAACTTGGTAATGGCCCTGGAGTTTATCCACTTGTCTCTTTATCTTAGGAGTCATTAAGCTCACCTAATTTTGCAGGCATCTTCTTATAATACCATTTGATTTTAGGGCATATTTTTGAAGCTTTCTACAGTTGGAAAAGTCTGGGTTTTTCCTATAGACTGTCTTAATAGTTTTATTTAGAAAATTCTATTCACATTTGACAAGTGTTATAAAACAGAGAAATGTAAAGATTACTTAGACTTCATTTAAAATAATTATATATTATAAATAGAAAATTGTATCTTTCCTTCTGACACATTGCATCTCCTCCTACCTTTCAGTGGTGGCTTCTGGAAACATTTGTTTCCTTTTCAACTCTTTCTAAAGCTTAAATAAATATGTGTATACAGAGATATAATGCTTTAATATAATATCAGTTTATTTCTAGGTGTGTATTAATTAGCTCATCTAAAATTGCTAGAATTTAAAAAAAATAAAGATTAGCAGTTCATATTTTTTCCATAGCCATATTTATTTTTCTCAAAGGGGTTTAATGAACTATTTTCACATTAATTAAAAAAGACATTTAGTAGTATATTTTATGGCTAGTAATTAGTAACTTTAAGTAAAGAAAGAAATTTATTACAGTGTGCTTTTTGTTCATTGTAATTGCTATTATATTTAATGAATTTTACTTTTCAAATTTTGAGAAGAAAATAAAGTAAGAATTTTTGTCTAATTTTTCTTTACAGCAGTATGCCCTGTGTTTAGACCTCCATCAGGCACATAGTTGGCACTCAGTAATTTTTTAAATAAATAAATGAGGAAATTTTTTATTTACATTTTCATTCCCATTTATTGCTTTTTTTTAAATCACCTACTCCAAGCTGCAAATCTACTTCTAGATGTATATTCTTTAAAGTTCTAATGAGAATTTAGATTTGCTATTAGTCATCCGCTCCTAAGGGATTTACTTCACTACTGCTTTCCATGTTCCTCCCTTTCTCCTTAGAGACCTCAGGACTTTAGATATAGGAATTATTTCTAGGTTCTAAAAATGACAAAAAGATTCTTAGAGTCTAAAGGGAAATTTAAATATCAACAACTATCTTTGAATGACTAAGTACTTTTCCTCTTAACTGTATTACTCTGTTTACAGGAAGATGACTTTTAGTTTTCAACATTGAGGAATTGTGGAAAATGAAAAAAACATTAATTTTTATTAATATTCACTTGACCGTGAGACTAATAGGTTCATACTGATGAGTTCATTATTGAGGGTGAGACTCTTGATTGATAAAATTTACTGAGGATTGAGGTAGACTAATGCCTGAAGGTTTAAATAATGCATTTTATGTTTTTATTGAAAATACATGGTGGGTAAAATGGAAGAGCATGAGGCAAGTTGAGTGAATATAAGGCTGATCTAAGGGCAAGAAACTTAGGAAACGTTAATCAGATTCAGATCTAGTTTCTTAAAGATTGATCTATAATCTAGAATTGTTTAAATTTCCTACTTGTCCAGCTCCTGAAAAAATGGGTTTAAAGTAGGTACACTTACATTTCAATAACCTTAAGAGGAATTTTTTTCTTACTAGCTTAAGGAAAAAAAAAAAATTAGGTATCCTAGAAGTTCTACATGTAATAGTGTCTTAATGCAGGTTAGGATATGAGAAAAAGGACTAGAGTCTGTCCTATTCTCCAGTTTGTGTTCAACACCTGACATAGAAATTGGTTAGTAGGCACTCCATAAGTACTGATTGAGCAAATGCATACATATGAATTTTAACATGAGTTGCTCATATTGTAGGACAATTTTCACAAAGATTCCAAGACATACTTATGTGGATCCTGATTTTGCATATACTGACTTTGAAAAACTAGAAAAGAAAGCACATCAAAATTACTATGACAATTATATTAAATATTTAAGAAGTGTACGACTACAGAAAGAAGAAGAGAGGTAAAGTTCAATTCCTCAAGCCATATGCAGCAAATCATAGTAACTAAAGAGCCAGAATTTTTTCTTTTCCTTTTTAAAATTAAGTATTATTTTAATCGTACAAACTTATGAAGTACAATTTGTTAATTTGATACCTATAGACAGTCTGTAATGATAAAATCAGAATAGTTAGGATCTCCATCTCCTTATTTTTAATTAACATAATAATCATACCTATTTATGAATTATAATGGGATGTTTCAGTACATGTATATAATGTGTAATGATCATATCAGGGTAATTAGCATTTCCATCTCCTTATCATTACTTTGTGTTTAGAGTCTTCAAGTTCCTCTCTTCTAATTCTTACTAAAATATACAATAGGTTATTGTGAACTATAGTCACTCCACTGTGCTGTAGAACACTAAAACATATTGTGTCTCTCTACCCAACTATGTTTTGGTACCTGTCATCCAACCTCCCCAACTCTTCTCAGTCTCTAGTAATTACTATTCTACATTCATATAGATACGTTTTAGCATCAACAGATGAGGTAGAATATGATGGCCAAATAATATTCCACTGTTTATATACCACATTCTCTCTCTCCATTCATCTGTTGATGGTCACCTAGGCTGATTCCGTAAATTAACTATTATCAATAATGCCACAATAAACATCAACAAGTATGAAAGCCATCTCTTCGTTAGGTTGATTTTATTTCCTTTGGGTATAAACCTAGGAGTGGGTAATTGGATCATATGGTAGATTTATTTTTATTTTTATGAGGAACCTAACATAATGTTCTTAGTCATGGCTATACTAATTTATATTCTCACCAACAGTATATTTAATTCCTTTTTCTCCACATCTTTCCAACATTTTTTTTAAAAAAATATTTATTTCTTAGTTTTAGGTGGATACAATATCCTTATTTTATTTTTATGTGGTGCTGAGGATTGAACCCAGTGCCTCACGTGTGCTAGGTAAACACTCTACCACTTGAGTCACAACCCCAGCCCCAACATTTTTTTAATAATAGCAATTCTCATTGAGGTGATATGTTATCTTATCGAAGTGTTGATTTGCATTTTTCTGATAAGCAATGATGTTGAACATTTTTAAAAAATTGTAGCCATTTGAATTTGTTCCTTCAAGAAGTTTTTGCCCAGTTTAAGTTGGATTAGTTTTCGTGGTTATTGATTTTATTTTTAATTCTTTATGTATTTTGGACATGAATTCTTTGTCAGATGAGTAGTTTGCAATTTTTCCCCCATTTTGTAGCTTGCCGATTCGCTCTCTTGATTGTTTCCTTGCTATGCAAGAGCTTCTTGGTTTGATATAATCCAATTTGTCTCTTTTCACTTTTGTTGCTGGTGTTTTGGGAATCTTGTCAAAAAAAATTGTTGCCTATACCAGTGTCTTGAAGTGTTTCCTCTTTGTTTTCTTCTAGTAGTTTCATAGTTTCAGGTCTTACATGTAGGATTTTGATTCATTTTATGTTGATTTTGTGTAGCATAAAAAATAGGGTCAAAGTTCAGTCTCCTGCATGTGAATATCTGAATTTTTCTTCATTCCTTAGTTTCTTTTCCATTTTTAATGATTTAAACAATTAATATACAGTAAAAGCAAAATATTAAACCATATTGTTACTTTTTGATTTGGGGATATCTCATCTAAGTTTCTCTAGAAGCAAATCCTAAGAGGGATTTTAGTGTATGTGATTTATGGAGAGTATGCTGTCAGGAAAACACTTTACAGGATGAAAGAAGCAGAATAGGGAAGGGAAGGGAAATGATATAGGCCATGTTTCAAGTAAAATTTAAACAGCCTCCTGCCTAAAGTCTCTTGAGCACATAGATATTTCTGTCTTGAGCCAGAGGGGGGCTTGTCTTTTGTGTTCCATACCAGGCTTTGATTATGAACTGTCCCTGAGTGGCAGTAGGGTGGGGATGGAGCATATAAACTTTTTTTGTGAGGTGTTTGAGAAAGAGGAGTACCTTCAGCAAAGAAAATTTTCTGCAAACTAGTGCACCAATATGGTTATGGGACAGTAATTGCATATACTACGGGAAATATTTGAATATATACAAGTATTTTCTAAAAGACTTGGCCTCAATTACTTATTATTATTTTGATAGGAAATGCATATATTCATATAACTATACAGACATAGGCATAGAGCCAGCATCAGGTCTAAAGTCACCCTCCCTCTCAGAAGTGGAAATAGAAGAGTCCCAATCTTCAGCTGAGTGTCTGATCAAAGCTAATCAATTGTTAAGTACCAAGAAAATAGCATCCAAGGAAATGGAATCCCTGGAAAGAAAGGCATGTGCAATATTTTACATTTACATTTTGTTATGCCATGAGAATTATTATAGTGGATTTTGCTAATATTGAATGATTAATTTTGGGAAAATGTGGTTTTTTCCTCAGGTTCTCGAAGAACTTAAGGCATACCCATCCACTCTCCATGAAAAACATGATTGCAGCTTAATATTGACACCAAAGCAAATTCATCAAGTAATTGTTGGTAAGGATATATAGAAATCTACTACATTCCTTGTTTGGTTAGAAAATATTTAACAAATTATAATTTATATTCCATAAAATTCATCAATGTATACAAACCAATACCTTTTGGCAATTTATAGTTACATTATCACCATCATAATTAACTTTTAGAATGCTGCCATCACCTTCATGCCTGAATGTAGTCATTCCTTATTTCTACCCTCAACCCCAGGAAGCCATTAACCTTCTATCTATTTCTATAGGTTTCCCTTGTTCGGAACAATTCCTGTAAATGGAGTTATATAATATGTAATTTCCAATGTTGCTTATTTCACTTAGCAAAATATTTTTGATGCTAATTCACATGGTAGTACTTATCAATATTTTGTTCCTTTTTATATCTAAATATCATCCCATTTTATGACTATATCACATTTTGTTTATTCATTTATCAGTTGGTGCACATTGATCTATTTCTAGTTTGAGGCTATTATGAATATTGATGCTGTAGTATTCACATAAAATTCTTCGAGTGAACATATATTTTCAATGTTTTGGGTTAGATTCCCAGGATGGAATTGCTGGGTTGTATGGAAAATTTATATATAAACTATTGAGAGACTTTTAAATGTTTTTCAAAGTGACTATATCAAATGACAATTCCACTAGCAATGTATGAGGGTTAAAATTTCTCCACATTCTTACCACCACTTGTTATTTTCTGTTTGATTATAGCCATTTTAGTGGGTGTGAAGTGTTACCTCATTATGGATTTGATTAGCATTTCTCTAATGACTAGGCTTATGAATATGTTTTCTTGTACTTAGAGGAATGTCTATTTATATCATACATCTTCTTTGGAATATTTCAAATCCCTTGCCCAGTTTTTAATTTGAATATTTGCTTTCTTCTTATAGAATTATAAGAATTATTTGGATATTCTCGATATAAGACAGTTATCAGATATATAATTTCCAAACATTTTTCTAAGTTCATGGGTGATTTTCTTTCATTTTTTCATGTTATTTAAAGCACAAAAGTTTTACATGTAGATGAAATTGAACTTATCCAACTTTTCCTTTTATGGATTATGATTTTCTTGTCATGCCCAAGAAATCTTTGCCTAAGTCAAGGTCACTAATATTTTCTCCTAAAATTTTTATAAGTTTGGATACTATAATTAGGTCTACAATCCACTTTGAATTAACTTGTATGTTTGTGGTATGAGTTAAAGGTCTACATTTTTATTTTTTATGTGATATGCAATTGTCTCATCACCATTTGCTAAGATATTATTCCTCATTGAACTTCCTGGCACTTTTGTCCAAATTGATCAACCATATATGTCAGAGTTTATTTCTAAATTCTCATTCCATTCCACTAATCTATATGCATATCTTTGTGACAGTTCTACATTGTCTTGGATATTATAGCTTTATCAGCAGTCTTGAAATTAGTAAATTCTTCAGATTTACATTTTTTTTCTAAGAATGCTTTACCTGTACTGGGCACAAATAGGGTCTTATAATGGCCTACTTTGTCTTTCTTGTGCCGAGAGTTTGATCTTCAGTCCCTCTCACTTTTCTATTGCTCTCTTTATTGAGATTTCAGGTCACAATGTTGGCCTTTCTTAAATGTTTTCCATTGAGAAAATCATTATTTTGACAACGTCCCTACATATGAAAATTTCCAACTCTGTTCCAAATGTAGTTAATTTCCTTCCATTGTTCTGATAACACTTCTGCACCACAAAGCTGGGTGTGGGCAACAGGAGCAGTCCTAGACTAAAACTCTGTACAGACTTTGACTGCTAATAATGAGGTTTTAGAGATATTCTTAAACTAATGTTTCTTAATTTGTTCTGTCCTTTTGGCCAATTTTCAGTTTTTAGATGGTTGTCTTTGAAAAAAATTTTTTTCCCTTCCTTTGTGGTGCTGTGGATTGAACCCAGGACCTCACAAATGCCAGGCAAGAACTCTTCCACTGAGCCACACACCCCTAGCTCAAAAAATTTTGTCAAAATTTATTGTTGCTTTTGGAGGAGATTTACTGTGCTTCTCAATCATCCATTGAATGGCTTTTGAAAAATAAGAAGTTTGTAGTCATGTCAGTAAAAATTGAGCATTTTAAAGTTAAATTTTACTTTAATGTATTGATTTTTGTTTCTATTTTATACATGCTTATGGTGACAATAATATCTAAACTGTTAAAATTTTAAAATGCTGTGTTTATGTATACTTTAGATGTTTGTATGTAATATAGATGATTGACATTTAGGTTGTTAGCTCAGTTCTTTCTCAGTGTGTCTTTCAGGAACACACTGTGCAACATAGTAGGAAGTCTCTGTAATGAGGCCATCCTCAGTTTGGTTCTAGAACTTACTAGTTCTATGACATTAGGCTCTATCTCTGTGAATCTCAGTTTCTTCATTAGTGAGATGGATGATAATATTACATACCTCATACTGTGATCATGAGTGCAATAATATGAAAAACACTTTGCCCCCTATATCTCACATGTAGTTTAAGAAGTTTTTATGCAAACTCTTCATCCATAAAATGAACACATTACATTAGAAAATGGTTAATGTTGAACTTTAATCTCTTTATCCAGTCCTTTCATGAGTCTTAATTGAATGACTACCATGTACTAGGGACAGTCTGGGTTTTAGGGATACAGCCCTAAAGAAAATAGTAATACTGAGTCCTGCTCTCAGAGAGATTATATTTGCTTGAGATAGGAGGGGAGTAATAAGTTTATCTTCATGTAATATGACTTTGGTATACAATGATGAGGAAACAAAGCAGGAGAAGTAGATAGATAAAAATAAGATGTTTTTGTGTACAGTCTATTTTATACCAGTTTAGTCAGGGTCACTAACATGTATATTTGATTGGTGACAATACCTGTGTGAAATGAAGACTTTAGGCATCTGGGCTGACAGTGAGTTAGGAAAACTCTTTAGTTTGTTTGAACCCAGGGGTGCTTTTCACTAAGCTACATCTACATTCTTTTTTGTATTTTTGAGACAGAATCTTGCCAAATTGCTGAGACTGGCCTCAAACTTGTGATCTTCCTGCCTCAGCTTCCCCAGTTGTTGGGATTATAGGTCTGTCCTACCACACCCTGCTGACAGTTCCTTCTTAAACTTGCAGAAATGTTGCACAAGGTCCCTTCCTAGATTCGTTTCTACCAAGCCTGTTAAAGAAATATTGTAGTTAAAGATATAGTGGCTAAACTGGTCTGAAGACAGTGTTCCCATTTCATTCTAATAGTTAGGGTGGCCATGAAAGAGACATGGGCAAATGATGATTAATTATCATGGATAGACTGATTCTCCTTTTGGGGGTAATCTAGCACACAATACATCACATAACAACTCTGAAATTTTCTGGATTTGTGATTTTTAAGAAGGTACAAGGTCAGAGGCAAAGCAAAGGAAGTGATTATATATCTGGATTTTGGTGACTTTTTATCACCGGTCATTAGCCAAGTCTCAGGTCAGTATGGCCTATAGGAAATGCCCAAAGCAATGTCTGGGGAAAGGAATTGGCATGGGCTGATAGAGTTGTATTGTCCTACCATTTGTTGAGATAATAGATCCAACATCCTAAGAGCACTGGAGTTGAACCTCCCTGCCACACTGTGACAATAGGGCACTTTGGCATCAGAGTCTTATTAGCTCAATGCTTAATTGTTTATGTAGTTCAGTACAGGACAAAAACTTACTGTACACCTGTTTTGTGCCAGGAATATAGGTACTGAGTTTTATAGCTTCAAGAATTTACTTTTTACTATTGAGTGATAAATATTCTGTGCTTCCCAAATTAGTCAAGTCGCTAACTGAACAGATAAGCAGATCTATACAAATAAAAAAGAAAGTTAGGAGACAATGAGTATTGTCTCTTCTATGACTTCTTCACCAGTTTCTGTCTGTTCTTCATCTAGTGTCCTAGGCAGTTTATTAATGATCCTCTATGACAGAGACTTTGAATTTACAAAGTTAGCAACTATGCAGATGGAAATTTTGTGTCAATTGGAGGAAGTGGTCTATGAACCTGGTAGGAGAGTTACTCTTATTTTTACACTCTAAAGATGCTTTGTGAGCCTCTGTACAGAGCAGGGACTGGCACCATCAAAGCAGATTGTAGTTTCGGAAAAAATGGCCCTATAATCATACTATTTTTTCAAAATTAAAATAATAAGAAACACAATAGATAATTTGGAAATTATTCAAATCAATTAGTAAAAAATTTACAGTAGTCTGGATTACATTGAAAGTTATATAAAGTATTGTTTTCTTCATCTGCATGTGTCTAATAATTTTGATTTTTATGCTGGCATTTATTGATGCAGTTTAAAGCCAGGCATGGTATTGAGCAATTTATAAACATGATCTCATTTAGTTTTTTAAATAACATGAGAAACTTACAAATTAACTAGCTTTCTATCCACTTTAGAGATTAATAAAATCAAGCCAAATGAATACCTTAGTCAAAATGCCCAAATATTTAGTGGAAAAGAAAGAATTTGAAATTAGGTTTCTCTGGCCATATATTTTGTTTTGATTTTTCATTTCTAATTTACAATATATATTTTTATCTAAAGTCAGCTTTTTCTTCATCTTTCTCTACTCAATAATATTGTTAAATCATAATACAGAATTTTTCATCTGTTTTCCTAAAATATTATCAATCCAGTTTTTTCATTTGTTCTGTTTTAACTGTGCTTTATTTCAACATAAAAATAATTTCATCCTCATAAGATGAGTTAGAAGAGTTGGAAAGTGTTCCTTCTCTGCTATAGTCTAAAAGATTGTTCTATAATCCTTCTTCTACATTCTGTTGAATTGCTATTCTTCTTTAAATGTTAGGTAATTTCTCTGAAGAAGGAGATTTCATTTTCAGAAGATATTTAATTTCAAATTCAATATATTTAATAGTTGTAGTACTGTTCAGATATTCTGTGCCACATTCTGAGAGTTTTGGTGGTTTGTGAGTTTTGTGGAATTTTTTCACT